CTGTCAACTGCAGGAAGGCAGGTTTCAGTAAGAGCGAGTAGATGGAAAGAGTAAGAGAGGAAAAGATTAAGGATGAAAGGAAGTGTGTTGCCTATGGAAGACATTCCAAGGGGCACAATGGAAGGGTTAGACTGTATGTGGTCAAAACTTTGGGGTGGGAAAGTAGAGGGGGGTGGGACTAAAAAATTGGGTAGTAGGTGTGGGGAAAAGGTTTTGGAAGATGATCTAAAGGAGTTCAGAATCACTGGAATGTGGAGAGTATGACCAGGTGTGATAATGTTCATCATTGAATGGAGGGTACCACTCTTCCCAGTGGAGGTTGAAGATTGGGCTGAGGCAAGTGCAGTATCAGATGGGAGGGACAGGGTCAGGTGGTTAAATAGTGAGATAGGAGTCCTAATTCACTACTTTTCTTTCCTCTGAAGGGTGGAGATTAGGGAAGAAAAGGGTGCAGTGGGACATAGGCTGAATTTGAATAGAGGAGAAAGAAGTCTTGTTACCCCTCAAACTTTCTACTTCCTCTTCCCTTGAAGGACAGATGTAGCAGGAGATGGATACAGAAACATAATAGTGCAGAACTCACACACATACGCACACACACACACATACACACACACACACACACACATACACACACATACACACACACAGACACATATTTACTTATATATACTCTCCTAGTGGTTTGGAACATGAGTGAAAGACACAAACCAGGCTAGTGCTCTAAGGCCACATCTTTATAGGATTCTTTAGGACAGTGGTGAGAAATAGGTCTGTGAGTATAATTATATGTATGTATTCTTTACCCACAGAGGGAAGAAAAATCATCTAAAAAAGTTTATTGAGTTTTAAGATAATCAACTTCTTTTAAATTATGAAGAAATAATCAACCAGATTTAGGCATTTAGGGTTACTAATAAGAACATTGGGGCACCATGGCATTGTGGAAAGAGCACTGGCCCTAGGGTCAGAGGACCTGGGCTCAAATCGTGCCTCTGTGTGACCTTGGGCAAATAATTTAATATTTCTGGATCTCTCTTTCATCATCTGTAAATGGGGGGGGTGGGGGGAAGAGAGTGGATTATGTGGTCTCTAATGCATTTTTCAGCTCTAAATCTATGAATAATTTTTTTTTAAAAAAAGGCTAATTAAAGTGTTGGATTAGGTGGAAGAGAAATAAGAGAGAAAGAGACAGAAAAATGACAAAGGTAAAAGGAGATAGTCATACCAAGGGAGAAGGAAACAGGCAGACAAATAAATGTTGGAACAAAATAAAAAATAAAAAGGGCCTTTAAAAAAGGCTACATGGGGGTCAAGTGGAAGATCAAGGATAGGACCACTGTTCAGAGCAGATGGGAAGATAGCTGAGAAATGGTAATACTACTCCTATTTTTATTGTTTTCTTTATCAAGAAGAACAACTTCTAGACTAGAAATGATGGAACAACATGGCTAACAATGGAACTGAAATACAAAATTAGTGAGAGGATGAGGAAGCACTTAGCTGCTCTCAATGGAACCAAGTCATTTGGCCTGGAAAACTATATACTATGGTATGTAAAGAATTTGTTTATTCAATTGCTAGTGACCTTTGAGGAACTGAGGAATGCCTTCCAGTCTAGATGACATCTAGATGACATGAGTGCTGTGGGTGTCAAATAGGTCAGTATGGCAATGTATATGAAAACTAGAAAGACAGGAAGGTGCTAGGTTGTGGGGAACTTTACATGTCAAGTAAAGCTTACATTTGATCCTAAAAATACTGGGAAAGATTAGAATTTATTAAGGAAGGGCAGGGAGCTAATGTGATCATTCATACCTGTGCTTTGGGAAAATCACTTCAACATTTTTACCAATGGGGTGACCAAACACATAGAGATCACCTTTTATGTGGCTTAGAAAGCTGAATTGGCTAGCTAATAAACTGGATGATAGAATCAAAATCCAGAAAGAACTGGGCAGGCTAGAAAATAATAGACTAACGCTAACAAGATGGAATTTAATAGGGAATGTAAAGTCATGTACAGGGTGAGTTGTAACTAGAAAAGCAGTTCATCTGACAAAAGAATTAGGTTGTTTTTTCTATAAACTACAAGCTCCAATTCTTGTTTTAAAGCTCAGCTCAGAAACCTTTCCTGATTCTCATAATCAGTAATTATGTACCCTCTTTGGACTTAACATTGTACCTCTCTTATTTACACATAATGCATAACTTTGCATTATAATTACATGTGACATATCCACTACCAGACCACAGGCCCCATGAAAGCAGGCATATTGCCTTATCTAAATTATGAATATCACCTAATTCCTAGCATAATCCTGCTGAACTCTGCTCTGGTCAGATTCTCTCTGCTGTATCTGCAGTACTGTGTCCATCCACTGCTGGGAGCCACACTTTACAAGGATAATGAGACTGGAAACAGACCATTTGAGGTTTGGTTGAAGGAACTAGGTATGTCTAACTCAGAGAAGAAAAAACTGGGAGATATAGACAGCTCTCCTAAGATATCTGAAAAACTATTTTGTGGAAGTGAGATTAGATGTCTTTCGCCCATATTCAGAGCACAGACTTTGGGTAACCTGGTGGAAATCACAGGGAAACAAATTTTTGGTTCATTATACAAATAAAAAACTCCCCAATACTCAGAGCAATTTGAGAAAAGAGTGGACCGCCTAGAATTCTGTAAGCAGAGACTGAGTGGTTCTGGACAGTTTTTGTACTTCAGTAGGGGTTCCATCTAAGGGTACATTTCTAAGACATGCCAAGGAGTGGGCCTAGCAATAGCTACTCATTAGCTATCATATCCTTTAGTTTACCTGGAGTGTGGGCACCCACTAAGTTATTATTGCCCTTTAAGAGTGAAATTAGCTATTCACACCTCTAATCCTTAAACTTTCATTAGTTTAACAATGAAAGCTTCCTCAAATGGGAAATTCTCCAATTTGCATATTAAAACAGCCTAAGGGCCTAGATGATATCATATTGAGGGCCAGAGATTCTGGTTCCTTTGGTACTAGAGAACTTCAGAGCATTTAACCTGTTCCCCAGGTCTAGTTAAGAACTTGAAACTCTTGTCAAAGAAGTCTAATGATGAGTTAAATAACCTGACTTCCACCAAATCTAGGAAAGAGGTTGAAAGGGTTTAGATGAAGACTGAATTCTAGTAGTTCAGATCCCTTACTACCACTGGTTTGTCCAGTCTAGTCAAGTTTCTCTTCCATAATTTAATCCCAATTTGTCTAGTGTGATCATACCTGTACAGATTTGAAGGTGATACTCATTCTTCTTGGCTTGATGGGCTAAATTGTTGCCTATTGTCCTCTGTCTCACTCCAGAGAAACAGTAACTGATCTGAAAATGTATCAAATGATTCCCTTGATCCTCATATAAATCATTATATTCTTCACAAGCAGCTGTCCCAAGACCTAAAAGGAACCTAAAAGAAACCCTGAAACAAAGACTGGGAAAGGCCTCACAAAGGTAAAAAAAGAACACATTATCTCACTCTACACTATAAAAATGCTGGCAGGAGGGATCCATCCCTTTCCCCTGCCACCCATCATGTTCGTGAGTGTGGTGAATTAATAAACTGGCAATGAGAATGTGCTGCTTTGACAGATGACTCTTCCATTTTCGGAGAATTAACCAGCTTTAAATGTCTGCTTCTCCAGTGCTGTATTTCTCTGCCAGCTACAAGACTGGCAGACTGGGATGTGCCAAGTTCTTGGCTCTCAATTACAAAACAAAACACTATAGAAGAGAATTTGTGAGTTAGCTGATTTGTAAACACTACAGCAAGTCACCGTGTAAACATTTTGCTTTTGTGTACCTATTATTTCTCCCAGGCAGTTACCTGGATCCCACTCTGATGGTGCCAAAATTTGCTGCTCCTCAAGTTACCAATGGTTCCTTCACACTTAAAGGAACACAGCTTGCTTCAGCACTACTTTTTTTTAACCTTCAATTAAACTGTAATCACAAAGCATCTTGATAATTATGGTAGGAGAGTCACCAGTAGCACTCAGAATACAAATCAGATCTGCAGGTGTGTTCACAAGTGTACAGTAGGATGCAGTTCAAATGGAGCCAATTAGGAAATTAAAGAGGATAAGTGGCCAAAAGTTCCATTTATATGGACCACCTGAAATTTTCCCATAACCAGAAAAAGGCCATCTTTTTCCTCCAAATAAAAAGGCAAATGGGCAATATCATGGTCCTTTCTGAAACTGAGAACCACTTGATGATTGACTGAAACCCAGACAATTGGGTCACAAAAGCAATTCTACCCAAGCAGTTATGACAAGGTTAAAGAAATCTTATTCCTCAACTATTACTTGCTATAATTTTCATAAAACGTGGGTTTGGTAAGTGCCTCAAAAGGTTAAGTCCATTTCTCGGCTCCAGGTGGGGAGAGGGGCTTCTCCCAAGGGGATAAGAGTTTCCCTAACGATTTAGGATCTTACTGAATTTTACCTGAGGGGCATGAAAAGTTCATAATAAGGCTTTGTAAAGTACATTAATTATGGATGGAAAGATAACACATAAAACGCAAATTAACAAATAATATATCTTCAGTACTGTGAAAGATCAGTGACTTCATTAGTGTGAGTATTATCTTGACTGCTGCAGACCATAATTTCCTTTAGTAGGCAGAAGGTTTCATGAGATATTGTAGCTAAAAAAAAAAAGAAAAGAAAAGAAAAGAAAAACCAAAAGCAGTACCTGGTAGGTAACTATATGGCTATGAGCCTCTGCAAACTTGGCCAGGCTAGACCTCAGATGGCAGACACACCTGAAGCCCTATCTACCTTGACACGACCTGCCAGAGCTAGTTCTCTGTTGGCACAGCCTTCAAGAACCCATAGTCACTGCCACACTGTGATGAGGCATTAGAATAGGATTTCAGTAAAGGAATCAATAGTAACAACGCAATAATTCTCTAAGTATGAACACTAACTGAGAACAGGAAGATGCCAAGCCATAGGCTACAATGCCAGTCTTGTTCATAAAATATATTTATTATTGATACTGAGTGAGGCATGGTTGTCAGTATTCATGGTAAAGGAACTGATACATATATGTGTGTGTATATGTGTGTACGTACACACACACACACACACACTTATAAAGATGCTTTTACATTGATAAGAAGGCCATATTTTACCTATAATCATAGACATTATTCCAGCAAAAGAAAGACATTTTTTTCCTTTTCTTAATTACATGATCACTATAATAAATTAGAAACAAAAATTTCTCTTATATCAAAGGACAAAAGAAAAGACAAAATCAGCATTCTAGGAAGCTCAGACAATTTAGTTCCCTGGGGGGTAGCTCTCATTCACAGGGCTTTTCCTCATTTCTCACTCTCTCAGACACTGCCCTCCCTCTCACCTTGTACTTCCTCTTCTCCTGACCCACCCACAAAACATTTTATTTCAGCCTTGAGTTTTTACAGGTCAGATTTCTGATGTAATGAGATATCGGTCTTGGCTTTTCAAGTGTCTGCTGATTGACTTGTGATGTTTGTTGCTGCTGAATTGGCTCTCCCAGCTCTTCTCCTTAGTGGTCTGCCCTTTAAATAGGTTTTGTATTGTTGGGGGAAAAAATGCTCCACTGCTGGAATTAAAGTTGATAGGCTTTTGCTTGCTTTGAAAGTCAGCTTTATCCTCCCTTTTCAAGCACGCTCTGCAGAGAAATCAAAAGGAAAAGTTTTAACACCAGGAAAAAAAAAGTAACAGCAACAATTTCACGCCATGTTAGCAGCTTTCTTAATGCTCACTTCCAATATATAAGGGATAAGACATGGGGCTTTCCTGGTTCAGGCAAGCATCATAACATTCTGGAGCAAAGACGTCCCTCCCAGTTCTGAATCTGATTGCATAATCTGATCCTTAAAACTCAAGGGGGTTGCAGGATGATGGAGGATCCCTGGGTTACGTGGCACAAACCGCTCCCTGAAATTGTAGCTTGCCACTGGAAGAGTAGGAGGCTAAGATGCTCAGTAATGGTTTAATGAGCTCAATATCATGATGCATTCCCATCCCAGGACTGACTCCTTAAGCGATTTCCCCATTTAGTTAAGGAAATAACAGATATAAGGAAGTATTTCTTGACGATCAGGCAGAAAAAGATACAGGAAGAGGGTAGTAGTATCTCTCCAGCAGAATGTAAGCTCCTTGAGGGCAGGGACTGTTTTGTGTTTGTCTTTACATAGCTAGCACTTAGAATAATGGCTCTTTATTCAACAAGTATTTATTAAGTACTAACTGTTGTGGAATATAGAAAAGCAACAGATGAATAAGTACCAAAAATAAATGGCATGGGTAGTACATATGACAGCTGAAGCTATGGAATTTGGAAGTTTTTTTTTTTTTCTAGAAGGGAATATTGTAAAACATAAAAGAGAATAGGGACAATAACTGACTCTTGAGGGAAGCCGACAGCTAGCACTCAGGAAGAAGAAAAAGATCTAGTGAAGGCAATAGAAGAAGAACCTTCTGAGGAACAGAGAAGTACCAAGATTATACAATGACATGGAAACCAACAGAGGAGAGACTGTTGTAAGATTCTATGATTATATGTTTTCCGGATTCTTTGGTTATAGAAAACCAAAAAGGTAAGGAGATAAGAGCAGGTATCCAAAATGGGAAGAACAGACCCTGGTTTAGTCAAACTGGAGGTTGGCTGTAGAGGTCGTGTGGAAAAGGGAAATTTCATAATAATGTTAGAATAGGTATCTCTTTAAGATACTGGGCCACCACAGGTGGTGTGCCTTATGGGAAAAGAACTTCTGATCTCTTTGGAAAGTATGCTTTATATAAATTTAAAGACACAATAACGTCACTAATGGCAACAAAAGAGAATCCAGTACAAAGCAGAACCATTCTGGGACTTCTCTCAGGACATTTAATTCCCAAAGAGCTGAAATTATCTCATTATAAACAGTCCTGTGATATGAATCCTGACAACAGCACCGCAGTTGAGGACCCAATATACATGTGTTATTTGTTGTAATATGGCCTTTACCAACTGAGGTCAAGAATGCATATCTGTACCTTCCCTTATCCCCTTTGTCAAGTGCTACATTCTGCTGCTATGCAGCAATGGTACCTGTTTCTAAATTTTGCAGAAGAATCTGCCTTTATCGCAATGAAAATAAAGCAACAGGTTGAAGTTGTTTTCAATCACCCAATCTTTCCCTGGAGCCCTAATGAATCACAACCAAATCTAGGTATCTTCTCCCCCTCCTTTCCCTGCCAGGTGCAAGGAACATTCCCTTGGAAAACTGAGCAAGGTTGGATGGTTTGACAACCAGGAGCAGATGCTTATCAAGCAGGCCACATTTAGTGGTGTTTGCTCATACACATGCAATATGTGAATACATGTGAAGACTAGAAAACAAAGTCAGGGAAACAGACTTTTTAATAATCTCTTTAACTCCACTGATATAATACTCTAATGCATGTATTACAATTCTAATCTCCCAAGACACAGTGGCAGCTAAGCTGTACCAAACTTTGCTCCTTAAAAACAAAAAGGACAGGAAAGCTTCAGGGCTAGTTTATCAACAGGTTCTCAAACTGAGCTCATCTGCCACCTTTTGGTTGCAGAAGCAGGACAAAGCTGTCTTCTTTACTGTCAAAGACACAGACAATAAAATGTCAGGTTGAATTAAAGGAGACAAATTACTTCGTAAGAATGTTTTGTAGTATTAATAGTAAAACCATACAATAAAAAACCTTCTGCAACCCTGCCACAAAAACTTTAGGCTTTCGATATTTCTCAAGGCTGACTAAGGCTATTTTCACAATGAGCTTACCTTTAGAGTCTTCGTACCACCACACTGTATAGTTTCTGTAAGTAGCTGCTGTTGCACTGAATTTTAACGCTGCATAAATTTAACACCGCATAAATTAACATAGGAAATTCCCCAAAGAATGAGCGAAAAGCTTTGCAAGTTATAAAAAATTGCTTCCTTCATTTAGGGAACTGCTAACACTTAATCTTAATGTGGGGAAAGAAATTCCTTGCAAGTGCTCATCATTTCGGCCTCCAGAAACTCCCTTTCTAAACAGTCGAAGGAATCACCCAATATCAAAGAGAGAGGAGTTTGGGCTTCATGCTAGTCCCCATTCCTTCTCACTCTCCTTATCTGACTCCTCCCCCCTCCCCCCTCCTGTGAAAAGACTGGCAGCTCTGATTGTAAGACAAGAACAATGCCCCTGGAGATAGAAAATTGTGTGTCATTTCCCTTTATTAAAATGATCTGAACAGTTTCTCTCAAATATTTTTGCTACATAATCATCTATTCTACTGATTTTTGAATTACAGCTTTCTCAGTTGGGTTGAATCACTGCACTGTCAGTTGCCTGGCTGTCTCAATCTATTTAAAAGAAATTATAGCAACTTTATGTTGCCAAATCACCATCAAGGGGAAAGTTAAGTTCTTGCTTCTTTTGGGGTGGGGGGGGAGGAATTTGCTTTTTGGTGATGTTGCTAACTTTCCTCTAAGGTCAGGCCTTAAATGGCAGCTTCTCTCCCCACTACCTCATAAAAGTTCTTAGTCTCTATAGTGCTCTGTGTTTTACCAAAGAAGAGAGAAGAAAGAAGAGACAGAGATTAGAGCCACAGGAAGAGTACAGAAGACAGAATGAGAAGATTATAAGGGAGATAGGAAGAAAAAGTAATCAATAAATTCCAATTTATGAAAACCATGAATGCTTGGCTTGGGCGCGAAATACTGCTCCTTACTACCTGAAAATCTGATGAGTTAACTTATTTTGTTTTCAATATCAGTCCTACTTCCCCCAGCAACTAGTGTTCTTTGTTCTTCTTGCTTTGGTTAATTTTTTCATGCCAGGATGCTGTGCTCCTATTTTATGACTCTAGCTAATGCTGCAGGTCTCAAAGGACATTTAGCACCCTCCATTCCCCTATGTTCGCTGCTTACAGTTTGCCACAATAAGAGGTAAAACACTGTAACATTTCACGCTTGTGACTTCTGAAGGATGAGCCTTGGGTAGCAATATTCATCACGCAGAATAAAAATGTATTTCAATGGCGATACTTTCTCTAATCAATCAGTCAGCAATGCAGAGAAAAGTTATAAGATAAGTATTCTCAGGAAGTGGTTTCCAAAAAAGTTTCCTGGAGATGGTGGGTAGGGGTAAATGGGCAAATTCAAACTTCTGAATTTGACCTAATTTTAAAAGATAAAGACAGGCACTCATTGAGTATAAATACAGGTGAGCAATTAACAAATTCTACTAGATGATGATAAAGAAGTCTTGTTATAAATATAATTTAAAAACATGCTCAAAAAATTCATCCTCCTCAGTAACAAATTAACAGAGTGTGAAGGCACACACTATGGCTCTGCAATCTAGGCACACACTGACTCCTGTCCAAGTTTATCTGCGGTGTACTTACACACCCCTGATCCCTTCCACTAGTGATCCCTCCCCTCTTACCCTCAGTGTATTCCATATTTGTTTGCGGCTGGTTGTAAACTAATCCTATACTATTAAGGTAAATATTAGTATTTCAACGGATGTATGACCTGATTGATGTTAGTAACCCTTCCATCGATGCAGATTCAACCCTCAGGGGCTTGACACCATCAAAGCAGGCTCTGGTGACTTCCACCATGTTGAAAAGGCTGAGTAGGGTCCCAGGATAGCATGAGCCTTCAGGGGAACAGCCAGCACAGCTACCAGTATGGAGGCTCATCACCAGCACTGAGGGACCAATGAATCAACCTCCTGATGATTAAGCTACTGTGTTAGCAGAGGAGTCTAAGGGTATGATACTGGGAAGAGGCATTTGCATTTTATAAGGGGAGGTTGTAAATCTGCCGAGATCCCCTGTTGGGCTGCTACTCAATACCTCCCGAGGGCCTACATGAGGCTAAGAGGGGCAGGTGGCTGTGCTGGACCTGAAAGAACCCTGGAATTGTAGTCAAAGGCCGCCTTGGGTTCAAGTCTAAGATCAACCACCATGACTTGTAAGGCCTCGGGCAAGTCACTTCATGTCTCTGCCTCTTCCCTCGTAAACAGGTGGAGCTAAATAACCTTTAGCGTCCTTTCCAGCTCCATAGTCAAAGATCTGATGACCTTTGAGCAGTTACCATGATCAGGAGAGAATGACAAAATGAAGACTTGGCATCTGAAGGATTGTAGACAGATGTCTGAGGTGACTCTGACAAAGCAGAGTATCAGTCAAAGAATCAGGAGATGGTGTTCTAGTTGTAACCTTAGGGAACCTACCCCGCCTCTTTTGCCATGTTTCCACACCCATAAAATGAAGAAGCCTGGCTTCTCCAGTCAGTTGGAAGGTCCCCTCTAACTCTAAAGCTTAATCTGATGAAGTATTTTTCAGAAAGCCTAAATTCTCAAACCAGAGTTACCAATAGTTATGTTGACTGTATTAGCACTCAAGAGGGGAAACAGTGACATTCCAGTCTTTCAAGCATCCAAGTCACAGTGAAGATGAAATACAAGGCCCTAAGAAACTGGGCAGAAACTCTGCCTCAGGCAAATTCCTCCATGCACTCTGATCTCAGTGTCTTATTTCAGAGGCTAACCATATCCTGGAGGGTTCATTTATATTTTAGAAAAGAAAGAAATGAGGGAGATTCTGAAGAAAAAGCTTTAAAATAGCGTAATATGTCAAGTTCTGTTCTTCTT